GGGGTTAGGGAAAGTATGGGGCTTTTGGAGTTTGAGGGGCAGCAGGAAAAGGAACGGGTGCTGAGGATGTTCTGGTCTTGGGAGCTGGCAAACTAGCGCGCGTTTTGAAATTAGGTGCAGGGCCGTGGCATTTTGATCCCCACAAAAAAGCATAGCATTAAGATTCAGTCTATGCAATTTAAGCCTCATCTATCTGAACCGATGTAGCAACATGGCTAGATCATGCATGTGATCGAAGAAGGATAGACTATACTGAACATGCTACCCTTGCAATAAATCATAACTTTAGCTGTTTCTCAGGGATTGTAGTCACCAACAACTAGAAATTGTTTCCAAGCACCCTTATTTGGAGGTTCACTGGTAGTTATAAGTGGGGTTGTAAGTCCCGTAACACTGGCTATAACTACATAATTTCCCAACTTATACAACTACCCAGGAACCTCCGAAACAAAGCCACACACTCGCCACGAATCAAGGGTTTAGGCTTCAGGGTTTGAGGTTCCTGGTTTGGGGTTTAGGGAACATTTGAGACTTTGCAACCGGAGATGTGCATGAAGTAGCGCTTCTGAAAGTAGCACCGGCATAGCTAAGGCCCGCCGAAGATACAGTCCCAAAGCTCTGAAGAGCTCTTATCTACACCTGCCAAGGCCCTGATATGCAGCCGCAAGGCCCTAACCCACATCGACCAAGCAACCCTGGTCCGGAGCTCTCTAAACCCTACTTTTAATAAGCCCCTGAACCGTAACCCTTCTCCCTAAACTCTTCTCTCTAATCCCTAAACCCTGCCCACATCGACCAAGAGCCACCATGACGGTGAAGCGGTAGCGGAAGAGGCACCAGGCTGCTAGCAAGCGCCCGAGGTTCTCCTCAAGACAAGGAAGTGCACAGCGCAGCTTGAGGGTTTCGGGATGCTTCTGGTTTGGGGGTTTAGGGTTTAAGTTGGTTGGCTGCCTTAGGTTAAGGTTTAGGGTTCCTTAGGAATATCTTTCTGAATGCTTATGGTTTGGGGTTTGGGGTTTAGGTGGTTGGTTGGCTGCCTTAGGTTTGGGTTTAGGGTTCCCTAGACATATCGTTCATGTGTTCTGGCTGCCTTCTTTTCTGCAGTAACGGGTCCCAACCAAGCCAAGATTATCCTATCCGCATACCCTAGTCCATGGCGAAAGAATTGAGCTCTAGGATAGCGTAGACCCCTGATCAAATACATCCCCTTGCCGTTAGCTTCGACGGGATGATAACAAGGATCCCGATATTAAGGCCCTGAAAGAAAGGGGTGTATAAATCAGGGTCTACATTGGTTAGATTGGGAGCACCCTGTCGAATTTGCCTCAACGGTTAGAACAGGATTTTTGGGGGCATGAGTACTACTTAGTTTCCAGGTGGACCGGGCACAGAAAGTTTAAACTTTTGGATTATCTCAACATGATAGGATGATGTCCGTCGTTATATCACGCAATGATTCCTTTTCCAGGTCCGCACCGAAGTTGGCACGAGAGAATGCATAGATGAGCTATTCCTATGTAGAGGCCTTCAAACGCGTTTCATCGTATTGTCGATTGCAGTTATCTCGATTCGATTGGCGCATGAAGTTGATCGACAATGGTAGTTGTGGTGTTGCTGACGGTCGAAGCTTCTTGCGCCTTAGTGAAACACTCCAGCGGATTTCCATAGTCATGGGACTGACCAGCACACTTGTGCCAGGAGTCGACGAAGGCATTCGGACGATGCAGGCCCGTCTTGAGCAGAGTCGGACACGTTGGAAGTCATAAACTATATTTCACAGTATGACTATATTGTTTTCCGGGGTATGCCGATCCAGGTGTGACGTACATACGTTTGTGCTGCCGATGTTCTGAGTTTTTGCGGGGTGGGCTTTTCAATGCCAGGTGTCGCACGCGCATGTTGCCATTTTTATGTACCCTAAACCCTAAACCCTAAACCGCACCACCGACACCGGGGCCCAGGCCCGGCGTCGCAGGGGTATCCCATGATGTTTATACCCCCGCAAGACAGCAGATTAAGGCTTAAACTTGTTGGACCAAGTCGCCATGCGAACCAGCTAGACCCTCGAACCGTTCTTGTCTAGGAATTCGTAATTGTAATCGTAGTAGAAATAGCCATGGTAATGGCCATAAATAAAACCGTAGTACTAGCACTAGTAAAGTAACTACTAGTAACAGTCTAATCTTCAAATCTGACCTCATACTGTGTTGCTGTGGCGGATTCCTGAACCGTAAACCCTAAAACCCTTAAACCCTAAACCGGCTAAAAAGCGACCACAGAAAGATTTAGGGTTCGCTGGAGTTTAGGGTTTAGGGTGGTAGAACCAAAATCCCGAACTACGGTTTAGGGCTTAGGGTTTAGGGTTTGAGGGACCGGGGCCGGGTCAACGGCGGAGCGGCCTGAACTATGCCACAGTTTCCCTGCATCGTTGATACTAGTTGCTATTCTTTGAGGGATGCAAAGCCCCACCATGAACTTAATGAAGGGTCCCTACTAATGAAAAAAAGGGGTTCTGGACGGTTATGGGGGACCAATAGTAAAGCTACGTAGAAGCTATAAGGGAATACTGCAAAAAAAGTTGCTAACCATTCAAGGCCCCCTTAATTCGGCTCCCTGAAACCCTAAACATCCCCAGAGGACCCACAACCGGAAACCCTAACCCTCGGCCGCACAGGCATTCTTGAGGGCATCGGGCTGCTGTGGACTGGCCTCCCAACCTGTGCCTGCTTTGGAAATGCTGGTTCCGGGTTTAGGGCCCTAATTAACCCTTAAGCCTCAAACCCCTAAGCCACAGACCCTAAATAGCTAATGTAGTGTGCACACCTGCGCTGCGAGTCGAATCATTGCATCGAAGTTGCTTTGCGCGAAGGACTTTGCTCCTGCACGAAGACTATCATTGCCAATCCTGAGGAGCAGCAACGAGTATGAATATGGTATTGAATATGAATATGATGGTGATGATTAGCATGATGATGACGATGATGATGATGTAATTCTAGCGTTGAGTTATTTGACTATCTCAAATCTCACACACTGAACACTGGGCGCGTGAGGCTATGTGATGATCAGCTTTTGCGGACTTGGAACAGGAAGTTCGAAGGACCACTCTTCGCAGTTTCAATGTGGCTGCATCTTCAGTCCGAAAACTGGCATCCCACACATATACGTTGCAAAGGAAACACTTTAAGTAGCAGTGGCTGATAGCGGCTATGGAGCCCCAAACCTTAAACGCGGAACCGAACCTGCGACTGGGATACTCGAGCCATTGCTTTACAGCAGGTGTGAGCCAGACAAACTCCTTGGCCACCAGACGTCCTAAGCACCCTCAACCCCAACCAAACCTTGTACTACCCGAACGTGAACATGGTTCCCTAAACCCTAAATGCTAAATCCGAATAACAACAACTGGTATTGGGTTGCTAGCTGTACTACTCCGAGCTAGACTTGCTGGCCTGCTCTTATAAGCCCGAAGCGGTGGCGGCAAAGCCGACTGAGCGCAGCGCCGGCTTCCAGCAACAACTTGTCTTCCTCGGCTTCAGGATTTCGGGCTCGGGGCGCTGTTTTTTTTTTGGGTTGAAGACTGCAGATCATAGGGTTCTGGGTTTGGGTTTAGGATTTAGGGCTTAGGGTACCTTTTTGGTGGCTGCTCAGGAGTTCGTGCATGGAGCCTAGAGAAGCAACGCAATCGGTCATGGTTGTTCGTATGGTTTTTTGCCCTGCCCATACAAAGCCCCCAATATATTAAAGGACAGGTTTTAGCTAAGTTTTTTACTCTTACTTGTGCCGGTGCTGCTGCTAAGGCGATTAGGGATTAGGGTTTTGGCATGTGCTCCAAGGTAGCTGTGCTGAGGCGGGGCACAATTAAGCACGTTGAACATGTCCCTTCTCAGCGCTACTGCCGTGAGCCGCATAGACCGCAGTGAAGCTCAAATCACATCTGTTATCAGTCTCAACACAAGACAAGGTTTCAGAAGCGAGAACAAACAAAACACACAAAACAAACACACAAACAAACAAGCAAACCAACAAACACACAAACATAAAACAAACAAAACCACACACACACACACACCCACACACACGAAAACAAAACGCACAAACACACAATAAACAACAAACAAACGCAGTTCTCGTCCACAATACTTTGGCGAAGCAACACACAGGCTTATTGCAGCTATTGAGGTACATACTGCGAAAACAAGTCCCCTCCAAGACTGCTGCCCTAAAGTTGCCAGTCACACAGGCCGATACCCTGAGTCATGAACGACGAGACCCGGAACCCTGCAGAATGTAGCATCGTTGCGTGTCAACCCGCTGCACCTTGGACATCGCTATGCACGTACATGTCGTGTATGTATACACTACAATGTAGGCATGAAGGCAGGTATGTACGCATACTAGCGTGTGTGTGTGTGTGCGTATGTATATATATACACACACAAACACGATATATATATATATATATATATATTTATTTATTTATTTATTTATACACACACACAATATGTAGATACACAGTCTATATGGGGAGAGATAGGTACATATAAGATGACCCGTGGTATTCCTAGAAAGCATAACATCAAGCGAAGCTCGCGGAAAGGGTAGAAGTTTGGCGGCCCGTCAGGCACCAGCATCTTAGCCACCGCGCAGAAATTTCGGAAGCAAGGATGGGGCTCTAGGAAACTCCACGGATCGAAGTCTCCGAAGAGGTTGGGGTTCATGCCTCCTTCTATGGGAGGTTGGGTTCCGCCCCCTAAACCCTCAACCCGAAAGACTCAAAGCCGCAACCGTGACCTCTCAGAGCCTCCAACAACACTAAGAGCCCCGTTTTGGGGCCCCGCCTAGGTGGCAACAGGGTTTTAATAAGTGGGATCACTAAATTTAGCATCGGGTTCGGGGGTATATTATACAATGAAACAAGAGCCCGAAGAAATAGAGCCGGTCGTTACTCAAGCTTCTCTAGTAAATGTGAGAATTTGCAAGATTTATGCTCTTATTGAGCATACATGAGCATACGCACTGTGCATGCAGAAGTATAGACTTAGCCAGCCGCGGCAGCCACACCAAAGGCAGATTCAACGAGCTAATGTTACAAACCCTGCCTAGACCCTAAAGAACCGGCCTTGTCAACGTCTCGCCTTTACTTCTCATGAGGTGCGAATCTATGCGGAGCATGTTCTTTGTACAACCTCCGACCCTGTTGCATGACTTCCTGAACCTAAACAAACACTCAATCACCGGCTTGGAATGTCAAAGCGCTTGTAGCCTGAGGTGTTCAGGGCTTCTTCAGTTCAAGCGCCCATTAAGGAATAGCAGGTTAGGAGGGCAATGACGATCTCTGAGGGTCCACATTTTCATTCAGTACATACTTTGACCTTAAAAGTAGTCCCTACATATTCAAAAAACATGTAAACATATGTATGTGTATATATATATGCTTTAGGGCCCAAGTATATACTATTTGCGTACATGGACCCTGAGGGCATTGAGCAGGCACAGAGCAACCTCTCTGAGAAGCTCGCCATGCAGGCCGCGTAGCAAAACCAGAGCGTGGCAAAGACAGCAGTTGAAGACTCGTCCATGGGACCTTTTGGCGGTGAGGTTTAGGGTTTATGATTTAGGGGTTTAGGGTTTAGGGTTTATTGAAGACTCGTCCATCGGACCTGATCGCTGACTCCTAAAATCTCTGCCTGGAAGACTGTTACACTAGGTTTAGGGTTTAGGATTTTGGCTTTAGGGTTTCATTCGGTTTCATTCGGTCCACTGTTGCCCCATCTAAACTTTATAGTCCCATCATCTGACTACCATATCCCAATTCCAAAGACTTTGTTCGGCGGGTGAACGTGCCGTTTCGGACCCCGTAGCCGAAAATGAATGAAAAACACTTCGGGTGTGACAAGCATTGGAATTGTTGTAACCGGACCAGTGCTACGATTGTTGCCATTAGTACGAACTAGGCGCGTTAGTGGCTTCTACAATAGGAGCAATACTACTTGGTCACTAATTCCTACTACTGGCAGACATAGCCGTAACTACTAATGCTAGGATCAGTCAGCCCTACAGTGAGCCAGTGCACGTGCAACTAAAAACTCCGAATATTTGTGTTAATGATGGGAGCATACAGGTTTAACTGATAAGGGTACAGAGTTAATGAAGGGTTTAGAGCCTAGGGTCTACCCTAAACCGGTTTAGAGCGTAGGGTTACCCTAAACCCTAAACACTAAGCTGGCTGCTGTCTTGGAACTGCTTGTGCTGCACAGATTCAGTATCCCTGAAGGTCCGTTACTACGGATTCGTCTTGGGAAGATGATTTGAGGAGTTTAGAATCCCTAACTACATTGTAATCCAAACCCGAAGCCTCTTGTAGTAAAAGCCTTAGAGGGACCGTGTTGTAGGCACTTCACTATTGCCAAGGCTGCCACCCAGCGCGAGGAAGGTGACCCCGGCAAGCGCTGCCCCCAGCCAGGCTGTGAAAGTCATGGCCATCACACTCACCTTTCTTTACGGTTGATAGGGCGTGGGGTTGAGGGCTTAAGGTGTATACTATACTCGTTGTTTTGCTGGGGGGGGCCTGTTTCGCGTTTACGACTTTATATAATAAAGCTTCTCCTGTCGGTATTTATGTTTTGGGGATTATGTGGCTTGTTCAGTAATTTACTTTAGAGTTCCATGTCTTCAAGCTCAAAGTTGTTAGATATGGTTAGCTGCTATTTTTGTTGAGCTGTGTTCTGTTGCCGCCATGAGCATTGCTTCTCAGGTCTACGGGTTCGCACGCTCGAATTCTAAGGTTCGGCCTTGGGAACTTGGCAAGCCGGCCGCTCGCGTACAGAGACTCAAGGGTTTATGATGAGTTTAGGGTTTAGGGTTTAGGGTTTAGGGTTAAGGGTTTATGATGAGGTTCATATTTGTGGTTTGGCATTTGAGGTTCGAATTTTCGGGGCTAGCGCCTATAGGGCTCCAAGTTTACGGTTCAGGTTTATACAGTTTAGGCTTGTGACGTTTCCAACCACGTCAGTCATGTCATGCATGAAGCGAGCACTGCCCGTTTGGGACGCCATGTGCGTAAATGTTGAAACGGCATTTTCAAGCAAGTATACCACATCAAGCGAGAAGAGCCCATTTGGGCCGCCATGTGGTTAAACGTCCAGTAAACCACAAGGACACTAACAAATGCCTTCAAATATAAGTTCTCAGAGCCTGCAGGCAACAACATGGTAGAACTACCCGGCCTGCGCTGCGCACACTACAAAACCCATAAACGCTCATGATCACCCAATCCAAGGCACCTAACTAGAACCACCCTGTCCAGAAAGCGTGTGACCAACACCAAAGCGGCTAACGTGGCCTCTCTCCTTCTCCTTATAAACTCTGAACCCGACACCCTGAACCCCCCCCACACAAAAACCAAATTGGCCGCTCTCCTTCTGTCTGCATCCGGCATGCCTCCTCGGCCGGATGGACCCCACTGCAGCCGAAGAGACCCTCGACCTGTCACGGACGGCATAAGGTTCAATGCAACACAAAAGTCACATGAGCATGGTATGGTATGGTATGTTTGTGTATGTATGCATTTTGTGTATGAACGTGCGTGTATGAAAGTTTGTATGTAACTATGTAAGTAAGCACGCAAGTAATCAAACAAATAGTTAGTTAATTGATTAAGTAAGTTAAGTAATTCAGCGAGTTATAAGCGAGTAAGTGGGTATGTATGTATGTATGTATGTATGAATGTATGAATGAATGAATGAATGAATGAATGAATGAATGAATGAATGTATGTATGTATGTACGTACGTACGTACGTACGTTTGTATGTATGTATGTATTTATGTATTTGTGTATTTATGTATGTAT